CAGACCTAAGAATGTTTTTCTGTATTGGCACACGCTTGAACCTGTTTGTGTTGGTGTAAAAAAACGTCACATGCTAGATGATCATGATTGTGTGCGGTTTGAAGCCAGTAATTGTGAAATAATTGCTTCCTTCTCAGATTTAACGGTGCCGTACCTAGCGCTGTTTCTTTTACTTTTCTTGATGTGCCTTTGCCTGCAACCACAATGGTGGCCAGTGCTTGGCACTGTATACTGTCTAGTTTACCTTTTTTTGTGCAATCAGCTGCTGACTCATAGACAATGCTTTCATATTCTAGTTTCCCTCTCAGGAAAGCTTTATTAAATTGTAAGAGAGTTGCTTGATGCTTTAATTATTTTTTTTAATGTAACTAATTCTTTTACATTTGTCTAAAGTTGTGTTAATATGTTTGCCCCAGATCAACTGTTCATCTAAAATCATTCATAGAAAATGTGTGCTCACTACTCTTTGGGTTGGTCTTTCATTGATTAATTGTAACAATATCACTGTCATGGTAACGTTGTCTCTTATGCTTAAATGCCATGCTTAATGTTTCGCTAGTATTTATTTTGAAACCTTTTTAATCATCCCATTAGGAACATTCTTAACTTCTTTTTGTAATTTGTTACTGCTGTCTTCACTAATTCTAAGTATTTATATTTCCTCTCCTTCAAATAGCTTTCACTTGTTATGCCTGGGAAGAATACTTGGCATTAACTCTTTCAGTCCCAGAGGGTTTAGCATGAGGCCCAAGGGGTAGTACAAAGAGCCGTAAAATCGACGCATCCTGCGACCATTGGACTTCTATGTAGGAACGTATAAGCGTATGATGCCTTACTTGGTACCGAAATAGTTAAGTGGCAATACAAGATCAGAAACACTAGGATATTGAACAAACAAATAAAAGGACAGATATTAAAACAGTTTTCTCAAAGCTGAGTCTCCGAATGCTCAGGTGACCCGATCACACATGGAGAATTGCTGAGTCCCTAAGGATATCCTCTACAGTGAATTACTGATGGGAAGAAGTAAAAATATGTGCAAGCGGTACATGAATGATACATGTATTAAGGTAAATTCGTGGGAACCAAATGTAATGGGCCCGGTTGCGTGGAGGGGCAAGTCGGGAAGGGTATGAGAATGAAGGAAGAGAAGCTGTGCGTCCGAGATTCATTGGCACCTTTCCGTCTTTCCAGACGATAGTGTTATATTGCGCTATGAGGAGGAATGAGACTTACAGCCCGTGGCGATGGCAAGTATGACTAGCAAGACCCGCCCGTGTCAAGAAAAGTCTTCCACAATGATGGCATGGGATTTCAGGACCATTGTTAACAACATTTGTGTTTAATCTGTTTCTTTTCAGACGCTCAACTCTCATCCTTTCTGCAATCATTTCTTTCTTCAGTCTCATTCCCTTCCTGATATGCCCTTTCCTCACAACACGGCTTATGGCATTTTGTTCCTCTGTCCGCCTCAATACCTGGGCGCCCGAGAAGACATACATAAATGCATATGATGACAGCAACGGTCCTGAATTTCCAGTCCCTAATTGTAGAATGTCGGCTCTGTGGCTAAGTCGATGCGAATACTTCGCTTCGTAATGCCGGGATGCCAGGTTCGATCCCAGCTGCGGGCAATGCGCCTTGCGTTGGTTTCGACAGTGGTATCAAGAAAGCCGACCGTCCAGAAAGCAATGGCAAACTACTGGACGTAAATTTGCCTAGAGAAACCACACAACAGCCAGGGGCTGTTAGGGTTGGTTCTGCAACGTCCTCTAGAGGATACGCAACAACCTTTTTTTTTAAGTGTAGAATACTTTCCGTAATGCAGGCAGGTCTTTCTAGTCACACTCGCCATCGCCATGGGATGTGAATCCAATCGATCCTCCTAGCACAAGTTAGCACTCTCGTGTGAAAGGTCGGAAAGGTAACAACTCACACATCACATCCACTGTTAATGTGTAATAGATATCTGATCATCATGTGTTGCGAGAGGCAAAACTATCCATGTATTCGCAATCTCTATATTTTATCTCCTTAACGTATTTTCTCACGACAGTTGTAATCGCCACCTGGAATCAAACCTGTTTTCTTTCTTGTGGGGTGTGGGCGGTAACGCCTTATCACTCGACCACAAACTGTCAGTTTAACACGCAGGTGCTAAAGAGATATCTTTATCCGTCATGTCTCCGCCCTGCTTTCTACATTGAAAATCAAGAGGAAAATCCCAAACATTGTAAGCTCTGTTTACCGCCCTTTTAATGGCGAACAAAGGAGGAGAAGAAGAAGAACAAGAACAAGAAGACGAAGAAGAAGAAATAAAGAACAAGAAGAAAAAACAAAAGAAGATAGGATGAGGAGATACTGTCAATAACTAGCACATGAAACACACTATATCTTCAATACGATTTTTTAGTAAAATATGAGCATGCGTAATTGTTCGCCTAATGTAACACAATCACACATCACAAACAGAAGCCAGCACGCAGGCATATGCTCATACGAAACGCACACACATACCTCACTATGTATTTGCTTGGAATTTACCTAACTTGAGGGTGCTTGAAGGTAAAAAGAGCTATGTGGTCAGATCGACCTTGAGAATTCGGTTTCGTAATTGCATCCCTGGTATTTCTCGTCTTCACCACATTGTTGTGATTATGCGTGTTCTTCTTCTGAAGATTTTCTTTCACTTGCTGTTGTTTTATATATTGTTCTTGCTGCATTTATTCTCGTCTCACTGTTATGGCATACAGAGTTCAGCTCTATGTAGTTTATGCTTCCTCTCACCCGCTTTCTGTATCTATCTATCTAATCTATCTATCTAATCTATTTATCTATCTATCTATCTATCTATCTATCTATCTATCTATCTATCTATCTATCTATCTATCTATCTATCTATCTATCTATCTATCTATCTATCTATCTATCTATCTATCTATCTATCTATCTATCTATCTATCTATCTATCTATCTATCTATCTATCTATCTATCTATCTATCTATCTATCTATCTATCTATCTATCTATCTATCTATCTATCTATCTGTCTGTCTGTCTGTCTGTCTGTCTGTCTGTCTGTCTGTCTGTCTGTCTGTCTGTCTGTCTGTCTGTCTGTCTGTCTGTCTGTCTGTCTGTCTATCTGTCTATCTGTCTATCTATCTATCTATCTATCTATCTATCTATCTATCTATCTATCTATCTATCTATCTATCTATCTATCTATCTATCTATCTATCTATCTATCTATCTATCTATCTATCTATCTATCTATCTCTCTCTCTCTCTCTCTCTCTCTCTCTATCTATCTATCTATCTATCTATCTATCTATCTATCTATCTATCTATCTATCTATCTATCTATCTATCTATCTATCTATCTATCTATCTATCTATCTATCTATCTATCTATCTATCTATCTATCTATCTATCTATCTATCTATCTATCTATCTATCTATCTATCTATTCTATCTATCTATCTATCTATCTATCTATCTATCTATCTATCTATCTATCTATCTATCTATCTATCTATCTATCTATCTATCTATCTATCTATCTATCTATCTATCTATCTATCTATCTATCTATCTATCTATCTATCTAGCTAGCTAGCAAGCTGACTGTCTGTTTATTTTTAATTATTTACTGAAGTATATTGTCTGCTTTCTAGTAAGTCATTCTTGTTTCCACGTTTTCTACTGGTCTTTTTCTTTCATTGTTTGATTCTTTATGTATTACCCTTCTGCTTTATCTATAGACTTCTAATTTCTTCTGACATTGTAATTCCAGTCTTCCTCAACCCTACTTTAACTTTGCCATTGCTTGATACTTTTTTACTACACTCTAACATCACACTAAATTGAAGACTTGTTCTAACCTTAACTTTCTTTTAATTTCAGTCTAATTTCATTATAGGAGATATATAAACCTGAACAAAAAGTATATCAGCAAGCTTCACAATATAACAAACACGAGCTAAACGTGAACTTTGCGGCTATAGAGTCTTCATCATCACACACACACACAAATTAAACATTACTACACAAATACACAATATCTCTTATTCTCGTATCGCGAAGCAGCCAGGTCGACGTCTAGCCAATAGACTGGGCGGGACACGTGGAAAGGGGAAAATAAATATCACGTGGAAAGCCAGGGGCTGGAACTCGAGAATAGGATGAAACTGTATAGGCAGTTCAGTCCCCTAGGATTCTAGATGAAGCTGTGTTTCATTCTACATCCACTCCAGTTGCACTTAACCTTCCTGTGAATTTGTTTTCTTCCTTTTCGTATTCACCAGCTGTAAACTATGGCGTAAAGTTCTGGTTGTTCGTCCACTTCTAGACTTTGGGCTTGTTCAAGAACTTGAGTTCTACGTGCACATATATTTTACAGTTTTAGCCTGTTTGCTTGTAAAATGCTAGTTCATCGCCTAGTTCATATATATAGAAACACTCCGACTTGATTGACTAACTTTCAACCCCACTAGGACAACAGCGAACGATAACCATTCGGTGACACAAAGTGTCACCATGTAGATGAGAATCACCCGGGCTTAAGTCCCAGAAACCCCGTTCAACCGTTCTCCAGAGTTTTGTTTGCGCAACTGCTACACAGATCTGGCTGCTTTATTAATATCCTACCGCAGATGACGTCACAGGACAATCCAGACCCCAAAACATCTAGAACTGGCCCTAATCCCAACCCACCTACGTCCCACGAGAGAGTGCAGCCTAGGTCCCACGACTACATGCAGCCTATCTACCACCCCCTGAAATATTAGACTGTCCCATGACCTGTGGATTTCCCCTGTTTGAGGTGGGATATTAATAAAGCACTCAGATCTGTCTGTTTTGTTGGTTCCTTGCTTCTCAGACAGTTGCACACTGACTTGGAAGGAAATTGCAGGTGGTAATTAGTGTCACTGTCAATTGTAGGATTTATTTGATATTCTTTTGTACTGACCACGAATCTATTGTTTGTCATCCTCACCAGGTGTCGTGCACGAGAATCCCCGTGTGGTTGTTGATGCTGTTGACCACGAGGAGGTGAGACTGGCACCCGATGGACATGGCGATGTCTCACCTGTTACAGTCAGACTCCGCAACAAGCAGAGGCGGCTCAGTGAGGTAGGAATGGTTCAGAGAAGCTAAATGGTGGTAAAAGTATCTTGTTGCTGTTGTTGTCTGCTTCTTCTTCGCGTTCATTGGCTGTAAACTGCGGTGGAAAGTTCTGGTTGTTCGTCCACCACTGGACTTTAGTCTTGTTCCAGAATCTGACTGTTGTGGGCACATTTGTTTTTACAGATGTAGCTTATTTTATGCAGACTTTTTGTTCCTTGCCTCTCAAGCAGTTGCACTCCGATTAGTCAACTCTTACGACATGCTTGCTGGGGAGGTAGAGGCAGTGGGCCTATTCTTGTTCTCCCCGAACCCGCACGGAGAGCTGTTGTTGTTTTTAATGTTCTTATTATTATCATCATCGTTGTTATCCAGCGGCGTCCGTGGCTTAGACGTTGCCAGTCCGACTTGTAATTTCAACATACCGCAATCGAAACCCACAGTTGGCTGCGTGGATTTTTATCATGGTATGGGGCGTCGCAGGTCGACCCAGTCTAAAATAGGTACCAGTATGTATGTTCTGGGGAAATTAAGACGGCCGTCGTTATGCTGACCACATTACCCACCTAGTGCCGATTGGTCTGTAAAAATATGGGTGCTCTTTCCTTGTTCTTGAATCACCCTAAAGGAGTGAAAAGGGATCTTAACTTTACTATCATCCTTATCAGTCCTCTCCTAGCATCCTCTTAAATATTATGGTTGCCATATTTTGTCAGATAAAAAAACGGAGTGACGACTCGTTATTAGGATATAACGACATTTATCGCTAATAATATGTCGTACAATATACATAATCAACATACTGTCTAACGCCATAAGGAGATAATTTCGGCGGGCGGGGGTGGGGGGGGGGGGGAGGGCGGAGAAATCCAGGGAAAATAGAGTATCCTACCAATCTACATCATCATCTTCTTCTTCTTTTGGTATTCTTCATCTTCTTATTTTACTCCTCCTCCTCCTACTCCTTTGTCTTTTTCTACTCATCAGGAGCTCGTTTAGCCCCTAAGTATGGGAGACAAGCGCCCTAACTGCTTTGCTATAGCCCAGCGGTTCTCAACCAATGGGTCGCGTCCCTTTTTATGTACGGGTCTAACCACTTTGTCGGCTCTGTGGCTAAGTCGATGCGAACGCTTCGTAACGCCGGTGTGCCGGGTTCGATCCCAGCTGCGGGCCGTTGGTTTCGACAGTTCTATCAGGGGGCCGACCGTCCAGGAGCAGTGGCAAACTACTGGACGTAAATTTGCCTAGAGAAACCACACAACAGCCAGGGGCTGCTGTGGTTGGTTCTGCAACGTCCTGTAAAGGATACGCAACTAACCTAACCTAACGACTCTATCACAGAGGCCGTCACAAAACACATATTCATTGAAATTATAAAGAAGCGACGAAAATAATTGTATGGTAAGGGGTCGCGGGATTAGGAAGGTTGAGAACCACTACTATAGTATTCTGGATTTCTCTTTATTCTGTCTCCAGGACTGCAGTGTAAAGATTTAACCTCCTGTCGCTCAAGGAGCCAGTCTAAGGATTGCTTATCCAGCAGATGCAAATCCCAGACACCTCACTCGTTTAACTGCATAACAAATGTATACTGGGGCAGCCGACTTCTGCAACAAGTAGAGACAAGAGAATTGACTTACCTGCACCGGGGTTAACCCATATGTCCTCTCTCTCTCTCTCTCTCTCTCTCTCTCTCTCTCTCTCTCTCTCTCTCTCTCTCTCTCTCTCTCTCTCTCTCTCTGTCTCTCTCTCCCTCCCCTCTCTTACTCTCTCTCTCTCTCTCCCTCCCCTCTCTCTCTCCCCGCCCTCTCTCTCTCCCTCTCTCTCTCTCTCCCTCTCTCTCTCTCCCTCCTTCCCCTCTCTTACTCTCTCCCCGCCACCTCTTTCTCTCTCTCTCTGTAAGTATGTGGTTGTATGTGTGTGTATTTTGGTATGTATGCAAGTATATATGTATGTATGTAAAGATGAAGGTGTATGTATAGATGTGTGTATGTATGCATGTGTGTGTAAATGTGTGTCTGTGGATGTCTGTACATGTGATTGTATGTGTGTGTATGTATGTTTGTATGTATGTATGCACGTGAGTGTAAGTATGTGGTTGTATGTGTGTAATCTGGTATTCTGTATGTGTGTGTATTTTGGTATGTATGCAAGTATGCATGTATGTATGTATGTAAAGATGAAGGTGTATGTATAGATGTGTTTATGTATGTATGCATGTGTGTATGTATATACGTATGCATGTGAGTGTAAATCTGTGGGTGTCTGTACATGAGATTGTATGTGTGTGTATGCATGCATGCATGTGTAGGTGTGTATGTATGGAATGAATGTGTATGTGTGCTTGTATTTGTGTTTGTTTTCTGTTTGTGCATTTATGTCTATGTTTGGGTATGTGTTTTCTGTTTGTGTATGTATGTAGATACATGTATGTATGTATTAGGTATGTCTGTATATGAATGTGCATGTATGAGAATGTAAGAGTATATATACGTGTGTGTGAGTGTGTAAGATTGTGTACACATGATGTGTGTATGCACTATTAAATAATGAATATTTCTTTATTATATCCATAACATGCATTATGGATAACAGACATTGGTACTCTGAAAAATGAGTGCTTAGAAGGGCCGTATGCCAGACGGGCCTTCGTGCCTAATTTGTAACCCTTCGAAAATAAAGTTTGTTCGTTCGTTCGTTCGTTCTCTCTCAGGAACATAACCCAGTAAACCGTTTGAGCTACTGTCCCCCCCCCCCCCCCCCCTTTTTTTTTTTTTAACCAGTTCACCCAATTTAAGACATCAACTGTTTTCGTTTCGCTAAATTTCCTGAAATAAATCACCCTGACAGCTGCAGATAACCAAAATAGCACCGCTACCCCTCCACGAAGATGGAGAAACTAAGTATCAAAAGGGTCTCTCTTCTGTACACCCACAGAGACAAAGCCTTCCTTGTCGCTGGGACTTGGGGGGCATATTTCACCAACTTTCTCTGTGTTTTCTCATGAATGTCACCGGGACATTTCCGGACACGTACTTCATTTGTCTTCATTCTAACTCCTGCAGCCTGGCAGTGGAGATGTGGCGTTTGAGAATTAGTTAGTTAGTTAGTCTTTCCTCTTGTGTCGAGTGCAGCACATAGGGCAGAGGTCATGACTCTCCATGCATGGCGGTTCGTTGCAATCTGTTGTAGGTCTTGGATGTTTGAGTGGCCCATGAGCGAGCCTTTCCTGATGATAGTTCTACGTAGAGTTTCCCTTGGTCTTCCACGAGATCTTGAGAATAACGCAACAAATATTATGGAATGGTAGGGGGAAAAAACGAATGAGGCAGTCCTGTTTGAGACAGGGGACAAACGAGAGATTGGAGAAATTAAACTTACTCTCTTTTTCGGACATGTCATGATCAGGGCTGCCGAAATTATATTGGGAATAATACAAACTTCTTTTTAAAAAGGTACCACACCAAACCAGAAGGTAAAAAAAAATTTTTATTTTTAATTATAAAGTTATTTAAACGTCTTTACCCCCTCCCCCCTTTTTCACACACACACACACACACACACACAACTGGTTTTATCAACAAAATGTGGATTCAAAGATCATCTCACATCGACAAGACCATTAAGAGCTGCAATGTCCTCGTCAGTATGTCTCCAAGTTTTAACACTAGACACTTGACGCTTACACAGGAGAATCTCAGCGTAATGCACATAGCTCCGTGGCATCGGTGCGGATCTTATTAACACAGTGTCACAAACTACTTCGAAATAAAATTACTTCGAAATAAAAATTAAATCAGACAAGTTTGACCATCAAAAATCGGGAATGTTAAACGATGACAAAACACACACACACACACACACACACACACACACACACACATTCAAACACACACACACACACACATTTAAACACAAAACATGAAAGAGAACCACTGGCCTTTGATACTGAAACAAAACAACAATTAGCCGATCACTTCCAATTGTTACCTTTTGTATTAACTACTTTATCATTCTGAGTTTCAGTACGCTCCTCTTATCACTTTTGTTAAAACGGTTCAAAAAAGCTACAAAATGTAAAATATTGATTCAAAATTTCTAAAACATACACAAACATTCAATGTGGTACCAAAAGTACAGTTCTGATCGGCAAGGGTCAAATAATACCAAATTTGTACGAAAGTACCAACTTCGACAGCTCTGTTCCTGATTATGAATGGACTTGAGAACTTGATGGCAAGTGGAAGGATTGATGGGAAACGATCAAGGGAAACGCAAAGAGATAAAAAAAATACTGGATGGCTTGACCGTGTGGATAAAAAAAATGCACCCTAAAGTCAGAGGTTATTTCTTGTTGTTTGTTGGTCCACCCTGGCTGTTTCCAGGAGCCCTAGTGTAACCCAACCTATCGGTCGAATGGGGTTTCTTGGACCTCTCCATGGGTGATCCTCTTCCGCATGATAACACTTTGTGTCACTGGGTGTTTAACACTTGGTGGATGTCCTGACGGGGTTGAATCTCACTCACACTCACCATATGGATCGAGATAGACAGGGATGCAAGTCTGATCCGTCAACGAGTTGAGTTGAGTTGAGTTGATCCAAGAACCGACATCACAGCACTCGGGACATTCCCATAAACGCTCCGTCCCCATCTTCAGCAGCCAGCGAAGAGTTCCGATACCAATAGTGCCAGTAGCATTCTGATTAAATATCCGTCTTGCCTTTCCTCTGAGCCTCGAGCATCTGCCACTCGTCACTCCTCCCTGCATCAATCTCACCAGACTGTGGTGATCCATCTGCTCCTCCGAACTGTACACGCTCTCCCACAAGGCACTAACCACGTCTGCCTTATTATGCATCAGTATTCCACCAAGATGTGCAGAGCCAGCCAGTCTGTCCGCCTGTACATTACCCAGCATACCGGTAAGACCCGGTGTAAAAAATCCAGACAATACTCCTCACCCGTGTCCTCCGCAGTGAAGCATGACACTCTGCAAGAAGCATGCTTGTCCTGATCTTCCTCAGCAGATCGTAATTGTATGATATGGCAAAACATGACACCGTATGTTCATCAAAAGTGATCTGCGTTAGGTTATACTATTTGTGTTTAAAAATTCTAATGCTCCCATATGAATTTAATGGGCGTGTATGCTGTGTTGTATGATGTTGTAAGAGCTAGTAGACTGAAATGGTTGGGGCATATTGAAAAAAATGTCAGATGACAGAGAAGTAAAAACTGTATACACGAGGGGGTGAATGATCGTAGACCACGAGGCAGACCAAGAAGACGATGGAGAGATAATGTCCAGACAGACCTGCAAACACTTGTGTCACTAACTGGAAAGAGAAGGCCAACCAGAGAGATGAATGGAGGCAGGTGATATTTCCAGCAATGAACCTGCAGGGCTGGGAATGCTGAAGAAGAAGTATGCTGTTGGTTGGCGTCTGTGGCTTAGGCGTTGCGAACGCGCTTCGTAATGCCGGGGTGTCGGGTTCGATCCCAGCTGCGGGCCTTGCGTTGGTTTCGACAGTTGTATCGAGAAGCCAGCAGTCCAAAAAGCAATGGCAAACTACTGGACGTAAACCGGCGAAGATGCTGAAATACTTTGGGTAGACTTTTAACTCAAAATTTTGCGCAGGCAGCGCCGTTAGGCTACTCTTTTCGATTTCCAACTGGCAAGGGATTTTTTACGTGCGCAACAATACACACGGGCGTCCGATATCACTACCCAGAGACCACGGGGAATTACTAGAAGTCCAAGTCCACGTGAAAAGAATCCCAGCCTTACCCGGGATTGAACCCGGGACCTCTAGCACTTGGGGCGGATACTATGCCTCGTGACCACGCAGCCCCCCTGCCATTACCTGACTACCCTACGCCTTTCGGCACAGAACACGATGATGATGGTGAGAAAAAGCCCCCGCGCCCCCACCCCCTTCTCTGTTATGGCATGTTAAAATTATAGTTTTGGGATCACCCCTCACGCAAGAATAAGAGACTCAAGGATCTTCTCTCATTTTAACCCTCCCCTCTCTCTCTTTCTCTCTCACTCTCTCTCTCTCTCTCTCTCTCTTCTCTCTATATATATATATATATATATATATATATATATATATATATATCATCATGTAGCAGGTCTTTTGAGAACGTCGCTCTCATCACAGTCTGCCTGAAAGAAACTCGGTCTCTCGCCAGTTCTCCCGCCTCATGAAATTTCACACTCAAGGAGTCACTTATATCCTGTGCCCATCTTCGTGTCGGTCGGCCCCTCCTTCCTGGTACCATGCCTTCTGCTATAATTTTTTCCAATCCGTCGTGGCGCTTGATATGACCAAAATATTTCAGCTTATATATATATATATATCTCTCTCTCTCTCTCTCTCTCTCTCTCTCTCTCTCTCTCTCTCTCTCTCTCTCTCTCTCTCTCTTTCTCTTTCGCTCACTCACTTTCTATAAATTTCCAGTTCGAAAAGACTGTCGCCAAATCCTAGGATCATACCGCCCTGTCTCACATATAACTTATTCACCTAGGAGTAAATATATGGACCATTCACTTAGACAGCAACCTGATCTGTGCACTTAACTGCCCACTCAGCTCTGTACTTTGGGCGTAAATGATCGTTCATTCACACTCACTGTGTGTGTTCGTGCGTCCTGAGAAGGCTCCGGAACTAAGTAGGCGCTCACTTAGCTTCCCATGATCTTTTATTTTTTCATCTCTCGCTCTCTCTCTCTCTGTGTGTCACTCACTCTCTCTTTCTTTCTCTGTCACTTACTCTTACTTTAGAGGATAAGTCAGTACCTTTCCTTGACTATTTCACTCTCTCTCACATTCTCACTCTCTCTGTCACTCACTCTCTTTCTTTCTCTGTCATCACTCTCTCTCTCTCACTCTTCCTTTTTCTCTCTCTCTCTCTCTCTCTCTCTCTCTCTCTCTCTCTCTCTCTCTCTCTCTCTGTATGTCGCTCACACTCACTCTCTTACTTTCTCTGTCACTGACTCTTACTTTAGAGGATAAGTCAGTGCCTTTCCTTGACTATTTGTGATTGATTCAGTTGGTTGATTATATTTTCCTACTAACTTTCTTGTGTAAAGTTCTCGGAGGTTTCCTTTTGCTGCTGCCGTCTCCGCTTCTTTTGCTAGGATCAGAGAAGATGCTTGGAAATGTAAAAATTTAAAAAAAAAAAGTATTGGTGCTTTCCGATTCAAACTTTTTTTTTTTTTTTTCGTCATCTCACTGATACCAGGTTGCAGCCCAGTGTCATGGTCTTCTGTATCTGTCTTGCACTTCTCAGGTGGCTTGGGTTATTGATTCTATCCTATATGTGTTCCATACAACTGCCGGCTTGCTAGGCCTGTCGCGTGGCAGGGCAAGGGGAAAAAATATGGTCTGGTTGGTGCTTGATTTTTCAGTACCTTGAAATTTGTGCTAATAATGTTTTACTATATATATATATATATATACACATACACACACACACACACACAAATACACATACACACACACACACACATACAACACATACATACCTACACACACACACCCTCCGCATACAATCATAATAATACTTTTATAAACATAGTAACTGTTGCTGCAACTCTTTTGTTCAGGGCATATGGGTGTGTTGGGGGAAAGAGGTGGGGGGGGGGAGGGGGGAACAGACGGGCAGACGGGCTAGTTCTGCACCACTTGGGGGGTAAATTGAACCATTTGGAAGCTATCTGGGTTCGGCCGGCACACTGCGCTCAGAGGAAAGGCAAGACGGACATACAACCAGACTACGACTAGCACCGTTAGTATTGGAACTCTGCGCTGGCTGCTGAGGATGGGGACGGAGCGCGTATGGGAATACTCCGAGTGCTGTGATGTCAGTTTTTGACTCAACTCAACTGAAGCCATCTGGAAGTGAGTAAAGCGTGTGGATGCACATATAGATCTTCGCTGTCTGAAGAGAATAGTTTTTAAAAAATGGGGTTGTGTTGGGTTGGGAGGTGGGGGAGGGGGGTGATCGTGGGGTCGGGCCAACATTTAGGGGAAAGGCAAAACGGAAGTACAATCAAACTGCTACTGGAGCCATCAGCACTGGAACTCTGCGCTGGCTGCTGGTGATAGGGGCGGAGTGCTTATGGGAATTAACCGAGCGCTGTGATTATGGTTCTCGACTCATCTCACCTCCAGATGATTGCTCCGATTTCCCAGCTTCATTTATTTACGGAATTATAAAGTCAGCCCTCAGCCCAACCCTTTTTAATTGCCTCTTAGACCATGCTTGATAGATTCCAGTGGCTTCTGTAACACACACAGACAAACACACACACACACATATAATGTAATACATATCGTTTTACATTACCATATTGTGTTGTTTTCACTCCACTTGAGGCTCAAGTGGATTTCTTCATTCTGACCTATCCTAAGCATTTGTTTTCAATATTGTGTATGGAATTGTTGTCATCGTATTCTACTTCTTCCTCTTATCCCATTTCTTCTTCTTCTACATTCACCATCAAAAAGGCGGTTTCACATTGTGGTGTGGTTTATAGCTAGGCTGAAAAATCGGTATCTTTTAGCCCAACACATCATACTTCAGCGAAACCTTATTAGGTGGCTTATACAACCTGCTTGTTGTGTGTGTGTGTCTGTGGGGGGGAAGTTGGTCTAATTCTTTTTTCCTTCTAAAGTAGGGCCAAAGAACCCGCACAGGAATGCATGGCATCTAGTCCAACACCTCTGCCCTTTCTCATCAGTGTACATCTTTGAATGTCTTTTTGATGTCTTCTTTTCTTCAGGCCATTGCACCATCATCACCTAGCAGGTCCTTTGCAGAACGTCGCTCTCATCACGGACTTCCTGGAAGAAACTTGGTCTCTCGCTAGCTCTCCCGCCTCATGTACTTTCATATCCAAGGAGTCACATAAATCCTGTGCCCATCTTCGTGTCGGTCGATCCCTGCCCCTCCTTCCTGGTATCATATTATTGTTTCAGTCTGCCCTGGTGCTTAATATGGCTAAAATACTTCAGCTTCCGAGACAAGATGCTGTTTATTAGCCAGTCTTCCATTGCGCAGTTTACCAGAATGTGACAATTACCCACTTTTTTGCTTCTGGTTACCAAAACCAATTTGTTCTTTTGTTTGCAGGAGGTCACCAAACGATTGTCTCTGCCAGCAGACATCAGACTGCCGGAAAATTTCCTTGCTCGACAGACACTCTCACTCAGCCCTGATGGCCAACTCACCAGACGGTCCCGGCGGAAGTCTTTGGTTAGTGTTGATGTTGTGTCCAACTCCCTCAGTTATGCTTCAGTTCTCATGTTTAAATGGGGTCTCCATCACGATTTCATTCACACATTCTACTGTAGGTCACTTTGTAAACAAAGGGGTTCCCTAGTAAAACTGTGCTATACAATTGACAAAGGTTTTTAGGATTTGCTTCGGTCTGATTCTCATCCTTGAGGTGGTATTTCTATGGACAGCAAAAGTGGAGGGGGCACAGCCTACCTGAGATCACCATGGCAAAGTGGTCAGTCAATTTGCCTTGGGTCATGAAGGTCATGGGTTCGCATTACATACCTGTCATTAAATTTATGTGTGCGCACTTTGATGGAGATCGCTGGAGATCAATTTTGGATCTATGGAGTTTGTGTGATGTTCTTGGCAGATGACTAGCTGTTGTGAGGCTAAAGACTGAGCTTCATGGGATAGCCTATTGCAATGTGGAGAGAACATCTGTTTTTCTCTTTGTTAAAGCAGAATCTGTATTTTGTTTCTAGACTTCTTCTGTGCTTTAATGACTATGTGTATATTCTTTAGAAAGCATGTGGGCTTCATCATTATCATCAATAATTTCAAAATTTGCCATTAAGTTATGTGAGGAGGACCAGTTCACGATCCACTGATTGATGGCCATTTTCATTCCATATCAAGGCAGAAGGTCTTTAATGTCATCAGTTCATATTCTTCTTAGAAGACCTCTTGCTGTTTCATTCAGTCTTTTCATGTGTGGTGCCTGTGCTGGTGGTTATTGTGGCTGTATTCTAATGAGATAACCGAACAATTTTAACTTGTTTTTCAATGAATTTGGTGCACAGTGTTGTTCCCACTGTCTATCTGATAGTGTGATTTCTCACTTTTTCTTCTATGGTTATGCTGTCTGCTTATCTCAGGCATCTCATTTCACATATGAGTTTCATCACAAGACTATTCAGTAGAGACTATAGCAGTAGGAAGATCATTATCTTCCCACAACATGGCCTCAGAACCCACATAGGTATAACCTTGTTTGACAACAGAGAGGACTGAAGCTTCATGATCACCAATGTCTGTCCCAAACCAGGCACCTGAAGAAACAGAAAAATGATGTTTATTTCTGACAAAGAATGAATGAATCAATCAAGAAATGACATCGGTGCACTTGAGATATTTCTGCACATGCTCCATCTCCTTCCTCAGTTGCCAGTGAAGAGTCAACTTGCTAACAGTACCAGTTGCAACCTGGTTAAAGGTTGGCCTCTGTTTCTCCTTCGGTGTTGAAGATCTTCTAGAACCTCAACTCACCCCTCATTGAATTGGTCTTTCAATGTTTGGTTTTCTGTCTGTTCTATTGCAGATTGGCAACTGGGTCGTCAGTTGGCTGGCTGGTAAACGACTTCATCACTAGTCAGTACAGCATTTGAGTCTGTCTTCTTTGATCGCATCAACACTGCAGTTCTTTTCAGAGTTACTTGGTGGCAAGCCATGCTAAGCCATTTTATATGGCGTACATAAACTAGTCTGTGTTAAAACCTTAAGCTACCCCTTCATGGATGCTGGTTGAATGTGACAATTGCACATTCTATTGCACTGTCCATTTGATTCCAGGGAGCCTTCAGCATGTACGTTTTATCATAAGGTAGCTCACCATCTAGAGGAGCGATAGCAGCCAGTAAATGAGCCTGCTCATTACTCCCCACCCCTATGTCCTGGACATAAAATCCACAATAAGCTCCAAATCAGAGTCTTATCAAGGGATGCAAGCCACTCTATGCATAGGACGCCAGTTTCAGTTTTCAAAGCATGCACTTTGGGTCCATTATAAGTATTTCAATAAGATCCATAAGAGGCCATTTTAAAGGGACCTATTTATTCCACTGCTTGGCACATGTTGAGTGACAGTCAGCACCACAGTGGCCATCTTTGTTTTCAATGACATTTCTAGGTGCCTATTTTAGGCTCAGTCGAGTTGGGAACCCTAGACCAACTATAAAAACCCGCTTGAATGCATGTTCAATCGCAAGACCTTTGGGCTGGCATATGGCCACAGCGTTTCTATGGTGAATAATAAATGTTGAATAAAAGTTCATGCATTCTTGTTTTTCAGTTTTCTGGGTGGGAAAAGTTTGGTCATGATGATCTGTGGTTGAGTATGGGAGAGGAAACTGAAGAGGGGGGGCTGCCCTTTTCTGATGCAAGTAATCAACGCTTTAAGAGTTAATATCCTCTCAGACATTTTCATTCTTATTTTTATCTGTCTATGAGATAGATGAACAGCAGCCTGAAAGAATGTACAAGCAAGACAAGAGATAGTGTTGGATGGAGATCCATTGCAGCCTACCTTCATTGTGTAGTCACCAGATTAATTGATTCTTCTTCTTTGTTTTCATCAGGTGTAAACTCCAGTGGAAAGTTCTGGTTCTTCATCCACTTCAGGACTCCAGTCCTATTCCAGAACCTGAGTGCTTTTTGCTTATCCATTTTACACATCTGACTCATTTGTATGCAAACTCTTGGTTCCTAGCCTCTCAGGCAGATATACTCTGACTTTGAAAGAATCACCCAATTATTAGACGCTTATGACATACCTTTGGGTTGGCAGTGGGCCTATTCTTGTTTTTTCCCCAATGGGACCTGGAACCCATGCTAGAAGATTAGTTTATTGATTGATCAATTGATTTCATTCATTCATTCATTCATTCATTCATTCATTCATTGACTGATTGATTGACTGTGTATTCTCCCATTCCCTGCTGTTTCTCTTTTTCTTTATCCCCAGGGTGTGTGTAGTATTGTCAGTTTCTTTATTTTATAACTTTTGATACTATTTGTTGGCAAAAATAGCTCTCAATTATTTATTAAGTATTATAATAATTAATTATTTTTTTCACTACAGTCTGAAATTGGATTTGGCAAAATGGAGTCATATACAAAGTTGGACAAACTGGGAGAGGTAATTTGTTTTTCTATTAGTAAAAGCTATAAGATACTATAGGCGGTACTGCTATACAGGCTAAAACCATATGTTGAAGATATATTGGGTGATTACCAAGCAGGTTTCTGACAGAAAAGATCAACAATAGATCAGATATTCATTTTAACAACAAATAGCAAAGCAAAACCTGGAATATAGACGAGAAGTACATAACGTTTTTGTGGATTTTAAAAAGACATATGATAGTGAACATAGAAACAGTTTATGGAATGCTATGAAGAACTCTGGAATACCAAAGGAGTTAATTACAATGACTAAACTATGTATGGAAGACACTTGTTATAGAGTAATATATAAAGGCAGAAAGTCGGACCCTTTTCAAATATCTGGTTTAAAGTAAGGTGATGCTCTGTCCCCACATTTTTCAAATTGTCTCTGGAGAAAAATTATAAAGAAATTGAAACAAGAGTCTACTTTAGGAGAATCTTGCTTATGCAGATGATGCTGATATCACTGGAGAAGATGAACTAGACACGGTAAAAACACTGACTTATAAAAGAAGCAGGTCACAAATAGGACAAGCTATCAATCAGGATATGACAGAATTCATAATAATAACAAAACAGGGAAGGGATATAAACTTTGACTACATACAAGTTGATATAATATGAACATCAAACAAATGAAAACACATAAATACTTGAGTGCAAACTTCAACTGCTTCAACACGCTGAGAGAATAAATACAATCTTAAATACCATCTAGAAATAAAGTATACCATGCCCTTCAACCTCTGCTATAGTCAAAGTTGCTATCTCACAACACCGAGATCAAAATATATAAAACTTTGATAAGACTAGCTGTTTTATATGGCTCCGAAACTTGGAGCACAGCTAAGAGAGATTAAGCCTTATTACATTTTTTTTAAACAGTCTTTACAGCGAATCTTTGGACCTATCAGAGGTGCAAACAGCGGTGAATGGAGAGTGATGGGCAACAAAGAAAATCATAATCTGTTTAAATCAACATTGATCACTGGAATCATAAGAGCTAATAGACTGAGATGCCTGGGGCATACTGAGAGAATTTCAGATGACAGAGAGGTAAAAACTATACATAAGGGAGCTGAATGATCATAGACCACAAGGCAGACCAAGACGATGAAGGAGAGATAATATTGAGACAGACGTAAAACATTTGGTGTCACTAACTAGAAAGAGGCCAACCAGTGAGATGAATGGAGGTGAGTGATATCTGCAGCACTGAATGTCAAGGGGTTGGAATGCCGAAGAAAAACAAGAATTAGTAAAAGTGGAATATGTATACTTGATACCAAGGCTTTCTTCTGGAAAAAAAAGATGCCAGTACTCACTAAAAATGTATAAAAATGATGTCGGTACTTACCACAAAGTGTCTAAAAGGTTACCAGTACTCACTATAAAGTTTCTATTACAGGTGCACTGTACAAAAAATGATGGCCATAAAAATAGTGCTAAAAAAAATGATACCTTTTAAAAAAAAAAAAAAGGTGCTGTGATACATTGCATACATTCAGGGGGAAAAGCCTTGTTTGATACTACTATTCTTAATTTGAAAGTTGCCCTTGTAAAATTGAACTTTTTTTTACATTTACAGTTAGGGATGTTCTATTCTTCCTTGGACATGTTTATTATTTATTTTGGTGAAGGATAGTTTTTATTGCATTCTGAATTTCATAAGTCTCCAAGAGTACACTACACTATACAGGTGGATTTTCAGCATAGTGCACACATTTTGTGTCATCACTGAAGATCCACATGTGGAACTCCTCCTTTTTCTTGCTCTTCTTCTTTTTCTTTGTATTTTTCTTCTTTTCCTCCTACTCTTTCTTATTCTTCTGTTTGTTCTCCATGCCACTAGTTTTCCGAAGAGAAGTTCCTAAGATGGTTGTGGGAGGACGCTTGTCCTCCTCTGATCCATACAGCCAGGTTTCCACCAGGATGTCAGCTGGCCAGACTGGATCTTTCTAATGTATTTAGAGATCATGGCCAATCAGAGAGATTATTGGAGGCTGGTGATATCTGCAGAAATGAATCTCAAGTGCTCAGAATGCTGAAGAAGAAGAAGAAGAAGACACATATATATTTAAACCAACACTGTTGCCAAGGTTTTAGGTTTTGAACAACGGATCAACATCATGGCACATGGGTAGTAACCCATAAGTGCTCCGTTCTTCTTCTAACTCAAGTCTGAGTCCGAA